CAAAGGAGGAGGGCACCTGACTTCAGATAAGCCCTAAAGGGTCACTGGGGTTGGGTGCTGGCCTGTCCCAGGCAAGCTTGGCTGAGAAGGGCAAGGCCTTAGCTTAGGTCAAGAGGAGCAACCACAGCAGGGCTCGGCCTGGGCCGGACAGGCCCCACCAAGCAGCCTTAAGCCTTCCAGGGCCTGGCAGCATGAAAATGCCCGTTGGGCTTTGTACCCAGGCCCTGCCCACTGCCACCCCTTGCTTTGCTCAATTCCCCAGGCCTGCCCTCTGACCCCCTGCTGCAAGACCTGATCCAAGTTGCACCTGGCACTGCCCTCTTCCCTGCCTGGCATTGTCCCTGCCCAGCTGGGTCTAAATGAGCAGCAGCTCCTGGCTTTCGCATCCCGCATCAGACCTGCCTACCCTGGCATGTCCCTGCCTGTGCCTAGGGACCTCAAGGCCTGGCTCTGCCCAGGCCTCTTGGTCTTCATAAATTCTGCAACCTTTCCTCCCATCCCACCTTTGTCTCAGTAGTCCCCTCCTCCCTAAAAAAGTGCCAGCACCAACGCCCACAAAGGCCTGGGGCTCGTTGGCAAGGTGTTTTGGCATCTCTCCATGTAGTTGCTTCCTGGGGAGAAGACTGTAGGTGCTGCCCTGGACCCTTGCCCACCACAGCCCCCTCCAGGGGCTCGGAGCAGCAGCCACTGGCCTGGCGGGTTGGGCAGGCCCAGCCAGGAGGGACAGACTCCTCCATAGGGCCTTGGCCCAATGGGATCTGCTTGCTTGCTGGAGACACACCCCAAGCTGGCCCAAGCCCCTCAACCGCACCCACCGCCTTCCCACCCGCCCCCAGAAGCTGAGGTCACCAGCTCCCCTGGGCTGGGCGGGGCTGTCATCACCTGGTGGTTGGGGAAGGAGGTGTGGCCCCTGAGGGCTGTTGTCTTAGCGATTGAGTAACCAGGGAACCTGGATCTGCCAGAACTGGTTCCCAGGCTTGGCCAGACTCTGTGTAGCAGTCTCCCCCACTCCCCTCTTTGGCGGAGTGAGGCAGTTTGGGGTGGCAGGAAGTGGGTGGGGTCAGGGGAGCCATCCTCATCCCCACAGAGACCCCCTTCCCTATGAGGAGGTGATGTGAGCCCCTGGAGGGGTGGAGGGAGGCTGGGGGGCGGTCTACCCTATTGCTGGCCAGCCCTCTCACGAACCCCTCCCCCTCAGGTGTCCCTCAATGCTTGGTTCTGGTCCACAGTGTTCCACACCCGGGATACCGACCTTACTGAGGTGAGTCCCTCACCGGCTGCCCCCTCCCAGCTGGGACCTGTCCCCCAGGAGCCCAGGAGTCATGGGCAAAGCAGGCCTGGGCCCTGTGCCTTGTAAGGCAGCATCCGGAGCTCCGCCTGCTGAGCCTGCTGAGTTTTGCTTAGGCTGCCCGCCTCTTCCACGCCCAGTCCCACTGGCCCATTAGGGGTGCATCATGAGTCACTAGCTATTCAAGTTCCTGTCCCCCATGTGCCACCAAAGCCTGGCTGCCTGGTATATTTGTAAAAGTCCTGCTGTGTGAACACTGGGCCAGTCTGTTCCATTCACCAGTGAAGCTAAAATAGGCAGAAGGGGCAGGAGACATGGTGCCCATTGCCCACTGACTGCAGGCCCAGGACTCCCACCCTGCCCACACTGGGTCCTCTCCGGGCTCTGCCCCCCAAAGAGGCCTTGTCCATCTGCTGCACTCACACGGACCCCTCCCGGCTCTCCCCCTCCTCAGAAAATGGACTACTTCTGCGCCTCCACCGTCATCCTGCACTCCATCTACCTGTGCTGTGTCAGGTGCGCCCACTCAGGGATGGGAAGGGCTCAGCTGGTCTCCTGCCACCCGTGGGCCTCCCCGACACACACACACACAGACACGCGCACACACACACACACACACACACATGCGCGTGCCCTGTGAGTTGTCCTGGATGGAGACCCTGGCGGGGGAGGTCCCTGGTTGCTAACATGGAGCTATAGCACTTGGCCCCAGGTCCCCCAGGGTGACAGGAGGCTGCGCAGCTGATCTGTTTGGGTGGCAGAGCAGCTTCTGAGAACACTGCTCTGGGGACACCTCCCCAAACCCACGGCACCGTCTGAGTAACCTTGGTGGTGGGGCAGGACTGTGGGCTTGCAACACCCGGCTGTAGCTGCTGCTTTTCGAGTCGTCTTGCTACTGCTGCTGACTGCACACGTCTCCTACCTGAGCCTTGTCCACTTTGATTATGGCTACAACCTAGCGGCCAACGTGGCTATTGGTAAGGCAGGACAGAGGTGCTGGCTGGGGTAGGCGCCCTTCCCAGAGAGGGACGGTCTAGAGAGCCCGTGGGGGTGGAGGCAGGGGAAGGAAGGTCCTGAAGTGTCTTGAGTATGACCTGGGGTCATGGAGCATGGGCTGAGGTGGCCCTGGGTGCATGGAGCGTAATGGGGGGCCCAGGGAGTGAACCTCCTCCTATCCCCCCCTCACTCAGGCCTGGTGAACTTGGTGTGGTGGTTGGCCTGGTGCCTGCGGAACCAGCGGCAGCTACCTCATGTGCGCAAGTGTGTGGGGGTGGTCTTGCTGCTCCAGGGGCTGTCCCTGCTGGAGCTGCTCGACTTCCCACCCCTCTTCTGGGTCTTGGATGCTCATGCCATCTGGCACATCAGCACCATACCCGTCCACATCCTCTTTTTCAGGTGAGTGACCAGTGCCCGTCTTCATCACGCCATTCCTTCCCCATCCCTTTGGTGAGGGAGGTGGGGGTAGACTGGGTCTCCCACCTTGGTGGAAGGTCCCATCTGTCCCCAAGGGGGCTTTCAGAGCGGGGAGCCTTAGGGGGTTCCCCCTTTGCCCCCACAGCTTTCTGAAAGACGACAGCTTGTACCTGCTGCAGGAATCTGAGGCCAAGTTCAAGCTGGACTGAAGCCATGGGGAGCCAGTCTACCCTGTGGGTAGCCCTGCACCCTTCCTGCTGACCTCCTCCCCTCAACCCCAGAAATTATTGACATTTTTCTTTTAGCATCTTGAACTTGGACATGAGGGTGGTGGGCTCAGAATCATGTAGTTGCGCATTCCCTGCAGGCCTCCTAGGGTCTCATGCTAGAGATGGCGCTGCCCATTTGGTTCCTGGAGCTGGGCAGCAGAGAGAATGGGACTGAGGGCTTTCCTGACTCCACCGGGAGACAGACCACCAGTGGGTCCCGCCCCCAGACGCCCTTAAGGGCTGGGTCCCAGAACCCTCTATAGAGCTGGGAAACCAGTGGCCCCAGCCTTAGAAGGTGCAGATAGGGTGGGCCCCTTCTATTGCCCAGCTCTTCTTTAGGTCACCACTAGGTGGCACCAGATACTTGCTCTTTGGCTTGGGAACTCAAGTTCCCAAGGGACCTTGGGACCTTGAGGAACTGAGCTGCGGGGACTAGGATGGGAGTGGGTTTTGTCCTGTGGCCTCGGTTGGAGCTCCAGGAAGCCTCACCCTACTCCCCCTCGGGACCAGGACCCGGGAGAGCCCAGGCCGAGAATTCTGCACTGCTCTTCCTGGTGGGGAGGCCTCCTTAGTGCAGAGGAATATGGACCAGGCCAAGCTCAAGGGGGACTGGGCTGGGGACCTAGGCCTGGGTGTGTGGTGTGTGGTGTGTGGAGTGTGTGTGTTCAGGGGTAGGTGGGTTAGAAAGGTATGTCTGGAATGTACCACACTGGGGGTGGAGGCAGGGAGTGATGGACTGGGATGGGAGGAATCAAGGACCTATTGCAGTCACTAAGCACCAGCTTTGCCTGAGGCCCAGCCAGGCAGGCAGAACATCTCAGTGGTGAGGGTAGGGCTGAGGTCCAGGCTGTGTGTGTGTGTGTGTGTGTGTGTACCTTCACCACCCCCTCCCAACCTCACAGGGTGCAGGAAAACTGGAGCACCAGTTTGTCTCCTCCCAGTGCCCTGTGCCAGGTCCCCACCATACCTTGCTCCTTGGGAAGGGCCTGAGGCAGCCTGAAGGAGAAGGGGAGAAAGCCTGTGGCTGGGTGAACCCAGGACGTCTGTGAGGCAGGCGGGGTACACTGTGTCCTGGCAAAGGTGACCCCCTGGTGGTTGCCAGTGGCAGCTCTGGCACATTCCTGCCCTCCCCCTTGCCCCCCGCAAGAATGGAATGTGGAGCTCCGGAAACTTTCCTGAAGGCCATGTCTGTGCCTAACACAGAGAGACGGGGTTTTGCCCTGTCCCTGCCCCCCTGCCCTGTCTCTCCTTGTGGCAGTGCAGGGAGGGGGGTATGCCAGGACTCCAACCTCAGGGACTCAGGCAACCTTTGCTGGGTTCTTTTGATACTGGACACTATTTTAAGGTAGAAAGGTGGCCAGGGATGTCCTTAATAAACCAGTTCTCCATCTTACACGCTCTTGTTCAGCTTGTTAGTATGAGTGCCGTAGGTTGGACGGAGGAGGAGCTAGGGGACCCAGAGCTGGCTGGAGGTGGGGTCTCTGCCTAGAGACGTGGGGGTGGGGAAGGCAAGGCCGGGGTGGAGCTGGGCAGAGATCAGGTCCAGCTAGGGGTTTCTGGGGAGGGAACTTGCAGCACTTGGTGTCTCACCCCTTCCCTGGGCCCGGTGGTGCAAATCCACGTTAGTCTCCTAACCCTCCCCCGACTTGGAGTCCAAGTCAGGCCTGTTCAGCAACGCTTTAACTCTGCTGAGCTTCGCCTAGACACAGATTAACAGTACCTGTGGCTGGAGGTGTTCTGAGGTGACCAAACTACAGGGGCCTGGCAGGTGCTGCGGGAACTCCACCTTGACCTTGGCCTGCCTTAGTCTGGAGAGAATGAGGGCGCAGTGTCCTTCACTGAAGCTTCTGCAGGGACAGCAGGGCCTGAGCCATGGCCCCCTAGACTCAGAGGGGATCTCGGGCCCTTGTCACTTCCCAGAGGAGTCCCAGACCACACCACACTCTGCAGCAGGCACGTCTATCTTTATTGGCTACACTTCAGCTAACAGCAGGTCTGGATGGATGAGAGCCACGGAGAACACGGGATGTTCATACATCCTCCGCCACCTTCTTCTGGGCCCAGGCAAAGAAGACCCCATTGACGTCATCGACACCGGTACGGAGGTGGGCAGGCATGGTGTAGGTGCGGAGGTCCCGCACCTCATAGCCACTCTCCTCCAGGGCCTTCTTCACCTGCTTCTCGCTCACTGGCACCACCACCAGCCTGGCCTCCCCAGCCAGGTACCACGACTCCTCCAGGGCCCCGATGAGAAGCAGGTGTCCCCCAGGCCTCAGCAGGGTGGTAATGTGGCGCAGGGCCCGCTGGAAGCTGGCAAGGTCTGGGCTCACGGCCTCCAAGCAGAAGGCAGAGACCAGAGCGTCAGCAGGCAGGGGCGCTGGACTCCCAGCACCCAGAGGCTGGGGCTGGTGCACGTCGATGGGCAGGATGCGCTTCACCCTGGCCCGCAGCTGGCGCTCCTTCTCCTGCCAGGACTCTCTGTGGGGGGATAACACGAGGTGGCTCGAGGAACCCCCTACCCCCTTGGCCCCCTCGTTCCCAGCGCCAGCCCAGATCTCCCCTTCAGCCATTTACCCCTTGCCCTCGATGAGGCAGACGTGCTGGCTATACCCACTCCAACTGAAGGCCCCTGGCTCCTCCCGCAGCCACAACTCCAGCTCCTGGCGGTTCACCTCCAGGAAGTCGGTCATGGTGATGTCCTCAAAGTGAGCGCAAGCGCTGAGCAGCTGGTAGACAGTGGGGCCTGACCCAATGTCGATGAGGGAGCGCCCAGACACTTCACCTGGGTGGGGCAGAGGGCAGTGTCCAAGTGCCAGGTCTGCCCAGGTGGCCCCCGCCTTGACCACCCCTGCCTCTCCTGCTGTCCCCTCGTGAGGCTCCATCTGGAGGAAGCTTGGCCCTATAGTCAGATGCATCCTGGCCCTGCCCCACAACTTACCTGCCAAAAATAGCTTGACCTCCTAACACTTAGGTCCCTGGAAAGCCACCTGCCAGTGGGGGAAATCCTAGGGTGCCTGGTGGAGCCTGTACCCTGCTCAGTCGGCCTCACTGGACTCCCCAATTCCCAGCTTCTCACCCTCCTCACTCTGGCCTCTCCAACTCTGTCTCCTTGGTCCCATTTGTCTCTGCTCCTTGCCCCTTGGCTCTCCCGATGACTTCTGACTCCCTGTGCCTCAGTTTCCCCACTTACCCGTGGCGAACGTCTGTGCCAAGCAGCGCAGCTTCCAAGGCCCAACGCCTTCAGGGCTGCTCAGGTCCCCACGGGGTGGCATGTAGTTGTTGCGGAGATAGGCGCGGGGCTCGAAACGCTGGTAGGCCAAGGCGACCGCCACCCGGCCTGAGTCCGAGTCAGGGGTTGTGATCTCAGCGTGGCTGGTGTCTGCCTGGCTCATGCTGTTGCCGCAGCCGTCTCTGTGTGTCCCTCTAGCCCAGTGGCCCATTTATCTGCGCCAGACCACCCTCCCCATCCCTCCACGGCGGGGGTGGCGGCTGAGCCATGAGACGCCCCGGGCCACCTGTGTGTTTCCCTACCTCAATCCATCTCCTTTAGTGTTCTGCCCACAGACACAGGTTGCGGGGGTGGCACAACAGGAACATCATCTCCTGCCCACTCTGCCCCAAGGCCTCCTCCTCCCTTTGGTCTCACCTGCCCTGGTCTAAGTCCTGAACCCATGCTCCCCACCTCCTGAGTACCCGGGCCACTACCTTCCTCCCGTTTCACTTCTCCGGCTGCCTCCTGCCCCCACCACTGCCTGCCTGTCCCCAGCCTCCCATCCTTCTTTCCAAAGTTCAAGTTAACCCCCTTCCCTGGCACCACCTTCCCAGCCCTGTCTCCAGGCCCTGGGACCCCCACCAGGCACCTCTAGCTTCACGTCACCCCTAAGCCCATCCTCTGTCTTTTCCCCAGGCCTCATCCCTGGCCTCTGGCCACCTGTGTCTCCCGCCTGACTCCCTACTTCTGCAAAGGACAGTCCGTTCTGGCCGCTGCAGAGGCTCCAGGGCCCTGGGGCAGGCTGAGTTGGCCGCGTGGGATGGCGGCAGCGATAAGGGAGGTGAGGAGTCTAATGCATTTAGGGTCGGGCCTGCGGGCTCCCAGCTGCCATGGGTGGAGAGTTCTGAATGTTCCCTCCACTGCCATGAGCAATGGGGCCCAGGCTGCAGGGAACCAAGCTGTCCCCAGGCCTCCAGGTGCCCACAGATTTGGGTCTGGGTCTCGAATACTCTTCTGGCCACACTTCAGCGCCTTCTGCATGCCCTGCATGGAATGTCAGCCAGGAGCTCCCTTCCCATTCCCCCAAAATGGGGGAGGGAGCATTCTGCCATCATCCTGAAGTGAGATCCTTTTAAATCAGTCTTCGCCCTTTTGTCTCTCCCCAGGCCACTAGCCTTGGCTAAGATCGGCCCTGGCCCCCTTGACCTGGGACTCCTCCGTGCACTGTCCCCCCGCCCCATCCTGTGTCCCAAGGGAAGTATCTCCCTATTGGGCAGGTCAGCCAGGGTGGGACATGAGTCACTGTGACAGCTGCAGGGGTAACAGACAGGAACCTGAGTCCCTCCTGCCCCCTTGCCATCCACTCTGGGCCAGGGAGGGTGGTGCGTCTGACCCCCAGCCAAGGAATTATGCTGTCTGGATTCAGAACCAAGGCAGCTTAGCCTTGGGGTCACTGACCCCATGAACACCCTGAGGCACAGCCAAGGATAGTGCTGGAGCCAGCCACCTCCATATTCTCCATGAGACACCATCTAAAGCAGAGCTTGATGCCAGCTGGCCTGCTGGGCACTGTCTGGTGCCAGGGGGCTGGCAGTGGAGTCTGGGTATAGGCAGAGAACTGGACAGACAGCCGCCCTGTTTATAGCCCTGTCCCTGCTCCCCAAGCATGGGTGTACCCACTGGCTCTGCCATATTTAGCTCAGACACAGGACCCGTTCCCAGAAACGGGCACAGGGGCACACAGGCAGGCTGGCCCCCACAACCACAAGGAAAGAGGCGAGCCTGGAACATGGTGAGCATTTATTGTTGCACTAACAGAGGGTGCCAGGGGCTTCTCCCCACCTCCGCCCTCTTTCACATCCCCCTCCGGTCTCCAATGCCTTCCAGCCCATTCCCTTTGCACTTGCAGTCTCCCGGCCCAGGCCACTCTTCAGGGCCCTTCTGCCCTCTCCAGCGTCCTCTGTCCCTTCTCTTGGGGCTGAGGGGACACAGCTGTGCTGGCCCCCAGTTCTCCACTCTTAACATCCACCATCTCTGCTCCTATGCCTTTGGGAGCTCGAGGTACCCAGGCACCCTGGCCTCTGCTCCCTCCTCCCCTAGCCCCCAACTCCGGGAAGACTACAAAGCATCCTCAGCTGGCAACTCCCCTCCGTACTCCTAGGCAAGGAAAGCCCAGCCCGAGGAGGGCAGAATCCCAGTGCCCAAATCCCAGTGCTGCTCAGCCCCTCTGGGCCTCCTGGGACATGGACCGGGACAGGGTGCGACGCAGGGCTCCAGGCTTGCTGACAGGCACCACAGGGGGCAGCTGCTTGGTGATCTCGGCCACCTCCTGGCGCTCCAGGCACTGGCCACCCAGGGCTGCCTCCAGTGCCAGCAGGTCCCGCAGCTGGACGGGAGTGTCTTCGCGCTCATCCTTGGTGGCGCCCACCTTTGTAGGGGTGAAGATGGGCAGTGGCAGCACCCGCTGGTAGGGCAGCTGGTACTCTTGCAGCCCGCGGCCCAGGATGCCCATCCGCATGAGCAGCCACGGGGACCGCTGCACCAGTGCCTGGCACTGCCCCTGCCGGTGGTAGGTCTCATGCCGCTGGGTGTCCTCTTCATGCAGGGAGCAGCTGGGAAGGAGGAGGGGTGGCTGTGAGCTCATAGTGTGGCCGCCCTCGGTCCCCGGTCCCCGGTCCCCGGCTGGCTAGGGGACATCCTGGACAGCAGGAGACCACCATTCCCTTCCCCGCCCCTCCTGTGGCTCAAGGAGGAACTTTGGGGTGGGGGCAGAAGTGACACTCTCTCCTCCCCTCAGCCGGCCCACACTCACCCCTCCTCGGGCCGTGTAGACAGCGTCAGGTCCTTCCATTCTGCCCAGAACGCCTCCCTGCGCTCGCAGTCCTCCTCCGCCACCCGGCAGCTTAGCTCTGAGGTGGCCATGGTTGCTCCTCACTCCCTGAGCCGCTCGGCCCAGGCCCTTTAAATAGCCCCCTCCTCCCCCTTCTCCAGGGGCTATTTCAGGCCCTCTGGCGTCAGATGCTATAAGCAGGGCCAAGACTCACTGATGGGGGTGTGGGGCCCAGGGCAGGGATTGGGATACTGGAGCCCTGGCTGTCCCCAGGTCAGAGGTCAGCTTGTGGGGTAAACCAAAGTGCTTTTGGGGGTGGGGTAAGGATTCTTGCAGCAGTACCCACAGGTGTTGGGCATTTCCCAGGCTACCTAGGAGCAGGCACATGCCCAGCCCTGTGCCACCCTGGCACCTGTCCCTGCCCATCCAGGGAGGCCAGAGGCTCATCTGTAACCACATACACCCCTCGGCTCCACACCAAGGTTGCGGGCTCAAGGGCACCCCTGCTGACCATTTCCCTCCACCAACAGGGATGGTACAGTCACGTCCTTGGGCACCGGTCCCAGGGCTAGCAATGAATGAGCATCTCACACCTGAGACCCAAACCCTGGCCAGGCGTTTTCCTTCCCCGTGGGCAGTGCTCAGAAGAGCAGCACTGAGACCACCCCCAACCCTGCACATGGGGTGATCTGGGGTGACAGGAGTTGAAGGGCTCTGATGAGTAGCAGAACTGGCTCTAGCCCCAGACTAGCCAAAAACAGGCTTTGTGAGTGTGGGTCAGGCCCCACACCTCTTGGTGCCTCTTTCTCCCGCACACAATAGGGTGACCGGAAGAACTCCCAGGCATGTGGTCCCAGTGTGCTTCCCGGGAGGGGTTGGCTGTAGATCATGGGGAGCAGGGGAGCATGGCCATGGGACGCACCAGCATCCCTGGAAGGAATTTACAAAAAGCTACGGTGCAGATGGTGGCCTGGGTCGGGGGGAGGCAAGGGCCAAGGAACAAGAGCCCCAGGAGAGCCGGTGGGAATAGTTAGGGGGCATGCACTAGCCACAAGTGTAGACCCAACTGCTGAGCAGGAGGCATGGTGCCCAGACTCACCAAGACCCCGAGGACACATGCACCATTTTCAGCAAACAAGCTCAGGGAGACAGATCTGTCCAGCGTGCCACACCTAGGCAGGACCCAGACAGGCTCCACGTGGCCCTGTCAGGAGGGCTCCTTGGGAAGCCTCCAGGCAGGAAGAGGGCAGAGCAGGGTCCAGGCCTCGGTCCCCAGCTCCATGTGACCTGGTGTATGTGGCTGAGGGAAGAGAGTCAGTGAAGTCCAAGATGCTGGGATCCCAGGGGTGCCTGGTGTCAGGATCCTGAAGTCAAGGGCCTGCAGAGGCCGCTGTTGGGTGCCCCTTCCCCAGGCCCTGGCAGGGGAGGGGCATTCTGCCTCTGACCACTCAGAAGGCTGTTGAGGTGCCTGTGAGGCCATCAGTGAGCGCCTCTTTGCCCTCCCTGGTGCTGCCCTCTTCCGTCCAGAGCCCAGGCCAAGGCTGCTTTCATTTAATCAGAGCTTGTGTGTTTTTAATTGGCTCAAATGACAAAGGTCCTGGGGCATGGAGGAGGGCTGGTAGAGGGAGAAGAGTCCCTGTCAGTACCCCCTTCCCCCACATGTGCCACATGTAGAGAGAGGTCCCAGCCCCTTCCAGCCTCCCCCACCCCCCAGCAAACTATGACAAGCATGGCAGACCAGGGGCTCCTTCATTGACTGTGCCACTGGCCGGCCCTGTCTGAGGCTCCTGTCCCAGACCCTGCCCCCTGGCCAGGAAGGGGACGGCTATCTCCTCCTCCCTTGAGGAGGTGCCACAGAGACACCAACAGGGCACACCCCACTTCCTTCAGCCAGCAGAGTCCCCCACTCAGAGCCGTGGCTTGCAGGCATGGTGAGGCTCGGGGCCAGAGTAATGTCCACACTCTAGAAGCCAGGTCACGAAATGACAGCAAGAAGCCCAGCAGGCCGCCTTCTCTGGCTCTGAGGACTGTGGTGGGTGACCAAGAACCCTGGCCTGCAGGGTGGTGGGTGGGTCATGCCCCAGTCCCCAGCTCACTGATGCGCTGGCGCAGGTGAAAGGCAAACTCGAACATGGTGGCCGCGATGCTCTGATGAATGAGGTACTTGGGCAGACGGCCCTGGAGAAGGCAGGGAGTGCTCAAAGAAAGAAAAGAAAACGACCTGGTCCAGCCAGAGATCCCCCAACCCTGCCTCCCCTCCCCCGACAGCTGGCGCCTGCGGGGTGTCTGGGGTCACAGTGCAGGTGCAGCTATGGCAAGGAGCCAGGCCCCCCTCTTGCCACACCCTTGCTGGGAAGAACACACAGTGCCCAGGGCTTGGCATCGACCACACAAACAGACCCGGGTGGGGCTGGGTTGGCCGCCTGCCACCGCCCCTTCTTGGGGCCTGCAGGGAGGAAGGGGGAAGAGTCGGATGGCGAGGACACATGGACACTGGCCCCAGATTTCAAGTAGAAAAGGAGGCTGAGAGTCAGAGGCCCTGAGCATGGATAGGGATCTCTGGGGTGCAGCAGGGTTCCCCTAACCAAGGCCTAGCTTGCAAGCCGACTCCCTCCAGCTCTTTACCCACCTTAAGATCTGTGTTAAGAATCCAGATGAAGGTGCATACGCGAGGGTTACTGGCTGATCGCAGCACGACAAAACCCCCGGGGCCGTTCTCTCCCCTGAAGAGAAAGGGGCTGCTCAGGGACTGCTCTGGAGCCACGTGTGGTCCCTGTCCATACACACACACACACACACACACACACACACACACACACACACACACACCACACACACACTCTCTCTCTATGTTGTTCTTTTTTTTTTCTTTATTTTTGACAATCTTTATATAGTTAATTCTGACACAAAGGTTCAAGGGCTACAGGAAAGTAGGTAAGACTATTATTTCCACATTGTTTTTTTCCTGTATCTGGGGTATAGGGGGGCCATGTGTTATTCTTGGAGAGAGTGGAAGGGCCAATGCCATCTGGGACCTGTACCCCGGCTGAACAGGTGTCCCCTTGGCTGCAGAGTTGGCCTGCACCCGTACCCATTTCATGCTGGGGAGGCCTCCCACAGCTGTCTGTAGTGGTCAGATCTGACTGGCATGGGCTGGGCTGGGCGTAAGCCCACTTTCCAAGCAAGAAGCTGGCACCCAGAAAAGGAAGGAGATAGCCCCGTCAACCAGTAAGTGTGCTGCAGGTCAAGTCCAGAGCCCCACCCTGATGTTCTAGAACAGTGCTCTCTGCTGGCAGAGAGGAGGGGTTGTGCGGGATTGTCTACCAGCCACCTGCATACAGCATGGAGGGCCAGGATTAGACAGTGAGAAAAGCCAGGAGGCCAGAGTAGACAGCCTGAAGACTTTTGCTCCCTTTCTTCCAGGAGATGAGAGGCAAGGCCACAGGGCCGGGATGGGGAGAGGAAAAGGGGACCCAAGTGTCCTTAGGCACAAGGAGGAAGCCCAGACTGTGGCTCTGGGGGACCTCTCGCTCCCAGCCCCCTGCCCTGGTCCCTGCATGTGGTCTACTGTGGTCAGTTGCCAACATACACATCCCTTCCAGCTGGGGCAACTGGGATCAGGCAGTTACTGCCCCACCTCCTCCTTGGGGCTCCCTCAGCACAGCAGCCAGAAGAGCAGGATTAGGGGCTGGGAGCGTCCTTGGTGGGCTAGGGCAGTATCAGAGGCACCGATGCCCACTGGGTATAGTGCACCTGGCACTGCTCACTGCTCCCCAGGCTGGCTCAGGTGAAGCCAGGCTCACCTGACATATTTGTGCATTGGGGGCTTGGCACAGTGTGTTGTGGCGATGCCAGCTGACAGGTACCGGTCCCTGCGTCGCTCGATGCGCCTCACATTCACAAAATCCCTGGAGGAGGGAGGAAGGAAGTGAAGGAGGGTTGGCTTAGCACTGGGGGCATGTGGGAGGACACACAGCCCAAGATCCAAGTGCACAAGGCTTGGCTGAGAGGGGGGACTTGGGGAACACCCACCTAGGGGAGACCACACCGCCTGCGGCTCCTGCAGATACATCATAGGAGATGAGGGTGTTGTCTTCTACCCGCTGCAGGATCTGAGGACCATCAGGAGGGTGGGAGGGGAGAGGGAAGAGGAGGACCTTAGGTGCAGAAAAGACCCAGGGACAGGGTACCGCTCATCGGAATCCCCCCACTCCATTGGCCTTCTCGGCCCCAGTCCCCTTGCTAACGGCCATCTTCCACAGGCCCCGGGCTGGAAACTCCACCTGTTCCTCCTTCCCACCTGCTCTACAGGAGACGCCAGCCCGGCAAACAGGTAGGGAAGCTGCATCACACGGTGCCCAGGCCGCTCACCTGGCAGGCAGTGACAGTCTTGTTCCACAGTACCATCCTCTCAGGCTGCAGGATCACCTCCTGGTACACCAGCTCCGCAGGGCACGACAGAAAGGTCTGTGGGCAGGGGAATGTCAGCAGGGATCAGGCAGGTCAGGACTTCCCTCCTGGCTGTGGGGGGCACATGCTGGGGGACCCCTGGACACCTCCTCCCCTCACCCACCTTCAGGACGAATGTCTTGCCGTGAAAGGGGATCTCGATGGTGTACACGGTGTCCCCGTATTCCTGTGGCAGGGAGGGGGGAACGGGCATGGGGGCAGGGGGTGGTTGACGAGTGGGGGTGGTACACAGCAAGCAGCACAGGACGGAAACCCCAAGGTGTCTGGGGACATCTGAACAGCTGTTGTGACCAATGTGGGACCATGGGGGCAGGGTTGGGGCAGAGCTTCAGGCACGGAGCTAAAGAACAGGGTAAAGGTGTGGCCCAACGGCCATGAACCACCCAGGGCGACCAGCTGGGTAAGGCCTGGGCGGGTGGGTGTTCTCCAACCCCTGCAACTTTTCCAGAGTATGCTGTTTTGATCATGAAAAACACCAGCCACAGCCAGAAGCCTGGCTGTCCCTTCAAAGCCAGGAGTCCAGGGGCCTGAATGGCAGGGTGGCAAGGACCGAAGGGCTGGAGGCTGATCAGGGACAGGAGGAAAGATGGGAAGGAGGTAGGGGGATCCCAGCCTCCCACAGGCTCTAACCTCAGACCTCAGAAGAGAGGGGGCTGTGGAGGAAGAGGGGCTTCTTACGTTATTCTTCTCGAATTTCCAGTTCTCCTCCTGGGCCAAGATCTGGTCCACCACTGCAGTGGCCTCCTTGCCCTGGCGGATGTACTCCCGCTCCTGGCACAGGAAGGCGGCCCACAGGGGTCAACCTGGACCAACTCTCTCTTCCAGTCACATCCCACACCTCCCAGAGGGGCCTGGCCCAGCTATACCTTCATACAGCTCCACCTGGCACTCAGACTGCCTGTCCTGGTCAACCCCCTGCCTTACCGACAGGCCTGGCCCCCACCCCGCCCCCACCCTGCTCTGGGTTGCCCCTTCGGACAGCTGGGTGGGAGCGAGCAGAGAAAATACCTGGGCAGAGAAACTTTTCTTCCCAGTGACTTCTTCGTCTGATTCATTGTCAGACCCTGCAGAAAACACGCGCCGCTGACAATGGCAAGGGGTGGGGAGAGAGTGTGGGAGGCGCTGGGAGCGCAAGGCTGCGGGGGTTGAAGGCGTGTGGGATAGGGCTGCTGGCTTTCCCCTGGGAACCTGACAGAGGAACAGAGAGAACACAGCCAGCCCCTCCCGGAAGGCAGCTCCCCTATCCAGCGCCCCTTACCTGCAAAGGATTCTGGGGGCGAATAGAACTGGCCCTCGGTCAGGGCACCAGAGAACAGGAGGGGTCCACGGGCCACAGCAGCCTGGGCAGTGAGGTACCCTGGAGAGTGGACAAAGACAGCCATGGTTCAGCAGACTGGAGGAGCACACAC